GCGCCCGGCCTATACAGTAATCTTTTAATAACTAATCTTATTGTAATAATCTTTGCTATCACAAATCATGATAGAATGATAATATATATAACAATTTCATACATGTAAAGATATTGCTGCAGAACACACTTCCAGAAGTGGGAGTGCTAGGTCACAGGGTAAATGGATCAGCAATTTTGCTAGTATCACCAAACTGCTATCCATGGGGTCAGCTTCTTTAGCAATATGAGTGCCTGCTTTCACAGAGCTTCATCAATCAAGTAGGTCTTGATGCTTCTGGATTTCAGAGAATCTAACAGGTAAAAGGATGTACTGTAATTTATTTATAAATCTTTTAATGTTGGAAATATTTGTTTCTTTTTCTTTTTCTTAGACAGGGTCTTGCTCTGGTGCCCAGGCAGAAGCTCAGTGGTGGTCACCATAGCTCACTGTAGCCTCAAACTCCTGGGCTCAAGTGATCCCTCTGGCTCGGCCTCCCGCATAGTTGGGGCCACAGGCATGTACCACCAAGCCTGGCTAATTTTTCTATTTTTTTTTTTTTTTGCAGAGTCAGGGTTTTGTTGTGTTGCTCAGGTTGGTCTCAAACTCCTGGCCCCGAGTGATCCTCCTGCCTTGGCCTCCCAAAGTGCTAGGATTATAGGTGTGAGCCACCGTTCCCAGCCTGTATGTTTCTAATTTGTCTCTATGTTACCACTTTGATGAACATCCTCATAAGTAAATCCTTGACCAAATTCCTGATTACCACCTGAGGATACATTCCTTCAAGGGGAATTACTAGGTCAATAGGAATATACACACAAAAAACCTTTTTATTAATAAAATTCTTTAAGAGTGCATTTTTCTCACAAAAAGAGAAGGACCCCCATGCAGTTGTCAGAACTGCAGAACTCTCAGCGCATGACAAGTCTGTTCAAACCTCTACTCTTAATAGACGACCAAACTTTGGCATGGTTTATAGTAGCATATGGCCATGTCCCTAGGATGACCCCAGCCCTCTCTTAAAATGCCTGTCAGAGAAAGTTTATCACTGCCAGGAGAACTGTTTGTTCTAGCCAACACCTGATGATAGGCATAGGCCAATAGGCCTCTGACTTCCCTCCTTCTCAGAGCATTTATTAAAAAGGGCTAACATTTATCAATCTTTCCTCTGTCCCTTTGAGATTTATATGTAAATCTCCTGCAACTCAGCAGTGTCTTTCTCAAAGACATGAAAGCCATTCCTTTGAAATGTAATTATCAGGGAGGATGGGACCCTAACTTTGACAATTGCCAGCTAGCAGACACAGCTGGCCTAATCACGTTTACACTGACCCACCCTTCGTAATTTTTCACTTGAGCCCCTGACCACTACCTACCCTACTCCCTCACTATTCCTTTAAGATACTGTCATCTCTGCACAAATGAGACTAGAGCTCAGCTCTTTCCCCTTCTGCCAGTAGTTACTGAGTAAAATTTGTTTTCACAACTTTAACCAATGTCCAACTTTGTTTATCTTTGACACTTGTTACCGAGCTTCAATAATTATCAGCATTTTTGCTTATTTCATCTACTTTCCCTCCTTCTTATCCTGCCCTGAAACACTCACCCACTTTTTCTGCAGTATTTTAAAACAAATCCCAGATGACATCACATCTTTTTACCTGAAATAATTCGGATTTCTAACAGATAAAGCTTAAAACATATATATATAATTTCAATGGTCCATTTTCACATTCCCCAAGTTGTATCTGATTCGGATGCCTTTTTACATCTCTTTACCTTTATAGCAAGGAGCCCTCCCATTTCACTATATGACATTTGTTCAAGTTGCATAAATTTCCCACATTCTGGAATTTGGCTGATGCCTTGCTTGTGGTATGTCATTTAACTCATTCCTCTATCCCTCGTATTCCTGATAAACTGGTAGTCAATTCTAAAAGCCTGATTAGATTCAGGTTCAAATATCTGGGGGGAGAAGGGTGGCAAGAACAGTTCACGGGTGGTGCTGTGCATTTCCTGCTGCATCACGTCAGGAGGCACACTACGTCTGGCTGCCTCACTTTTAGTGGTAAGAGGGTTTGGTGTTTTCAGCCAAATCCATTTTACAGCTCCTTATGAATCTTTCACTTACTGGTTTTGGCATTCACTTAAGACCATTGTTTAGGCCAGTGCTACTCAAGGTGTGGTGGCGCCAGGCCCCAGTGATTTGCTACCAATTTGTGATAACTGAAAAATCGAAAGTGTTTAGAAACTTTTACAGCAATTTAACATTGCAGCAACATCTTACTGCATTTTACAAGACTATCACTCCTCAATAAACTGGAAGTTTGAAACAAAAGAAAATACCTGTTCTCACCACAGTTAGTTTGGGAGCACTGGCCTAAGACCACGGTTTTGGGGACAAGGGTGGGGATCAAGGGGATGAAGGAGATGGAGGCTGCAAAAATAACAAACTTCTAATTCTATAATTCCATTCCCACTGAACTTTCTGGCTGGGATTCTTTTATAAGGAGAAATTTTCCTTGCCAACTCTTGGGTTATTCTGCTATACGATCAGTATAGCAAAGACAGGATAAATGCTTGATTCTCTTTATTTACTAGTATTCAGAATAGTAAGTATATCCTAGCAACTGCCAAAGTGACTGATTTTTAAAATGTTATTATGAACTCATGGATTTTTATATATTTAGTGTACTTAAAATAAT